CAGCAGGAACATGCGACAATTTATTGCGATTCACAGAGTGCATTGGATTTGTCGAGAAACAGTGTCCATCATGAGAGGACAAAACATATAGACGTTCGCTTACATTTTATCCGAGATGTGATATCGCAAGGATCAGTTTTGGTTGAAAAGGTACACACGGATGAGAATCCCGCTGACTTACTTACGAAGACAATACCGCTGAACAAACTTAGCAAATTGCTAAGTTTGCTCGGAGTTTCAGATGTATAATCATCTGTTAATGGAGAGGTGGAGCTGAGGATCGCTGGTAATTTTGAAGTTACGGTTCTCAGGCAAGGTGGAGATTTGTGATGATGCCTGAAAACTCATCTGAATAAGAACAGAGTTTTGAAACCCGCTAAGTGCACTGGAGGGTTTGAGATGCCTAATCAGATAATGACGAGAAGGGCAAATAAGTATTTTGGCATCAGTTGATCTTTAGTAGCAAGAACGAAGAAAGCTTCTCTGTGTATAAAAGGTCATGAATCAGTACTCATATACTGTAGTTGAAAATCCCTAATTTCCTGTAATTTGTAAGCTCCCAAAAATCATAGTGAAAATCTTCCATCTCTCCCGAGACGTAGGTATGAACACATTGTTCATACTGAACTCGTAAAACTCTTGTGTGTTCGTTCTTTTCCCTGTTTTCTTGTTCTTCGTCTTGTATTCAATCATTCGAACAGAGATTCAAGATTGGAAGAAGAGTTGAGGGAGCGGTGCTGATTCGGTTCTTGGTTCATCGGTGAAAAACACGGTGGTAGATAGTACAAGTTCTTGTGCTATATATGCTATGCTTCTTAACAAATGAAAAAAAAAATTACATAAACATTAGTGGCCTGCCTAGGCCTTTTTTTCAATTATAATCTATTAAAGAAATATTTATAAAAATAAGCCAACAGGGAATAAAATAACGTTATATCCTAATCATCCTAGTATTCCAAAATCGTAGCAATCATTGCGAGAAAAAGATTATATGCTGATCTTTGTATATATATATATTATACAGTCAACTCTGTATTTAATTAGTGCCAGACTCTGATGAATTAGAGATTTCCCAGTCTCGCTGTGTGTGTATACGAACGTATATACATGATCGTCCTGTACATGTGACATTACGTATTTGTTTATGCACATGAAAATGTACGCGTACTTTATGGCATTCGTTTGCCTATGTACTTGGATATATACATGATGCATGTAACGTACAGCGAAAAATATAACTCCATCAAGAACCCGCCCAAATATAACTCGATCCACCATATACTTTAGGGTTTTTTTCTTCCATCAAGAACGCATAGCTAGGGTTTTTCCTCAATCATCCTACTATATATCTCGGTTGCGTAGTTGTTTCAACTTTTAATCATAGATATATAATATATCTATAGCTCCTGGTTCTATGGTGGTAGACAGTTTAAAAATCACCAACTCTAGAGATATATATACAATATATCTGATTGATTAGGCGAATTTTTAATCTTAATCAATTCTTCAACCTATGCCATGTATAAATTTAGAAGAGTGGAGAGATTACCGCTTTGGGGTCTTTGATCAAGAAGTGGTGGAGTGATGAGACGAAGAGTTTGGAAGTTCCTTCTTGACAACGACGTCGTTTTTTCCGGGATTCTTTGGGTTGAAGCCGCCAGCCTTGTTCTTCCTCTTCTTCTTCTTCCTGTAAGGGATTCCACGAGCCCTGGCCTGAGATTCTCTCATTTCCCTCAAGTGAACTCGAATCGCTCCGTTACCAAAAGGGTTGTTTTCCGGCGACCCTCCGCCGTGTTCTTCGTACGCCGCTCTCAGCCGTCCGATCAGAGCGTCTAAACTCCCCCACGCCTGTCGGAGGGGACACGTGCACGGCGCAGGTGGGTCGGGCTGTCCGAAGAACACGCATGATGGGTGATGAACCTATTGTATTAGTTTAACCAAATCAAAGCTTCGTCATTAAAAAAAGATGGAATCTGTACATACAGTACTTTCGTGTAAATCCCTTGTCTAGGTTTTTGACAAAGGAAAGTTAATCATTCGGTTTTTTCTACGTTTTGTGTTACCTTGGTCTTACCAAACTGGTCTAAGTACTTGAGGAAACTGAGCACGTGGGAATAATCGAACTGAGACATGGAGACCGGTGGGTTCTGGGACTTTAGGTATTGCAGGAAGGTGTTCCAGTCGCGGCGTTTCTGCGACTCGTAGCGGCTGAGCTGCTGCGGTTGTGGCTGCAGCTGCGTTTGCGTTTCCGGTTGGTGGTGGTGGCCGGAGTTGCAGGAGGATGACGGCGGACCCGGTGGATCACTCGTCGGTGCGTGTTGATCCGACGAGGACATGTTTTGGGTTCTTTTGGGATGGGAGGAAGATGAAATTATTTAGGTTATTTTTTGTTAAAGTGACAATGAGAGAGAGAGAAGGGAAAATAAGGGGCCGAGACATAATCCAATCACATTTCACGAGAATTTCGAAATATTTTTTATTTTCTATTTTCTTTTGCAATTTATTTTATCTCACGTGTACGAATATCTGAATTTACAAATATAACAACTTAAACCGCTAAGCTTCATATATGTTCGTATATATTCATATATGTTCTACTAAGAAATTAGTGACTACATTTTTTTGGCACTATAAATTAGTGACTTATTCCAATCGATTTATTTTCTCAGATCTAGTTTTTCTTACGCTCCCTCGTTATTTTGTATATAATTTTTATTATTATTATGGTCCACGATAATCGACGTTAATTATAATATAGAACAAATTAATATACGGGCGTAGTAGTAAATATCATATAACAAGTATGATAAGGAATATAATTTCTTTTGTAAAAGAAATATATTCATTTGGTGGGTCTAGAAGAACTACGACTGAGGAGACATGTCACTGCGGGACCCGCAACGAGGTGCCCCTTTTTAAAAAAATATCATTAATGTAGCTATTTTCGCACTGTTACGATGTATGTTCGATTTTAAATTCGAAAAATTATTATTTTAAGTTTCTAATTGTACGACTGCTTAAGCAAATCAATCATTCGTATTAATCTGCCATTTTAAGTTTTATAATGACTTATTAATTAATTCTCCAACTTGCTTGTCTTAGTGGCTATTATAGTTAAATTATACAGCCTATAATATGCCTCTTTAACTTTATAAATATTTAAAACAATACAATAATAATTCAACAATAAGAACATTGATGATTCTTATTAAAAAAGTATATATATCGTAAAGTTATTGGTATCTACAATATATATTAAAAAATAATATGTATATATATATTATTTATAATGTAATTTATAATATATATATATATATATATATATGTGTATGTTTTATTAGTTATAAGTAATTTTATATTTAATATATATATATATATATATGAATTTATATGTATATAAATTAATTTAAATAAATTATATAATTTATTTTTGTTTGAAATGATGATGTGTCATAATTTTGATGATATGTACATAACTTGTAAGCCAAGTCATTGCCACATCATCATTTTTATTTGAGTTGGCAGTCGCGGGGGGTTTTCGGTGAATTTTTAACAAGTTTGGGGTTTTATTGGTTAATCATACCAAGTATAGGGTTTAATTGGTAAGCAAAAAAGTACATGGTTTTTTCGTTGACCTGAGAAAAGTATAGGGTTTTTATGGCGATTTTCCCTAGTTTATATATACCTCATATATTGAGAAATATGAAGAATTTCAGTTTTTATAGAGTTTAGATATTAGTGTGTTTTTTTTTAATATTAAATTTATACATTCTTATCATTAAGATAGGAATTAGGAGTTCTATTGAAAAAAACTACGTTGTATATTTAAATTCATTCGATTATCAATAATATAACAACGTTTTATTTCGCAAATCTTAACGGCATATATTAGTTTCAATTTACATATAACATATAACATTGTATTTAAACTAGTGTGAGCTGATACAAAGGTAATATATATTTACATATCTACGCGTAATATATATTTATATATCAACATTTCGAATTATAGAAGATTGCTTAAAGAAATGATTTGTCTGCCAATTAATAAATAATCTTGAAAATATAGGTCTTCATGTCATCATGAGTGATTGATTAAGCATAAATGAGTCTTAAAGTGGAAGACGCATAAAATCATGTTTTCCACTCTCCGTCTCTATTAAATCAAATATTTGTTTTTTTAAAAAATCAATTTATATGCTAAAAATACGTCAATAGTGTTATAACCGTAAATAGTGTCCATCTCTTTACCAAATAAACTCTTTGTCGGACACGCAGGATTCCGGTGATCGGAAACAAGAATCCGGCGAGAAGAACGCGAAAAGCTTTCAGACAAGATGTGTCAGAGAAGATCTTGCGTGGAACAATATCTCCTTTTAATACTTTTAGTCTGAAATATTTAAAAAAAAATCCACTCAAGGACAAAAAAAAAACCCACTCACGTGGACATGGGTCCGTATGTTTCACCTGCTATTGTATTATATTATGATTTATATTTTTTCTATTTTAATCTTTTTTTTTCTCGATTTTAGAGAGCTACACTCGCACTAAATGATATCTATATTCACAACTAAAAATCTAAAACGTTATCGGTGATCATTTCACAAAAGCAAAAGCGGATCTAGGATTCTATGAATTGTGATGTTTTTAAATTTGTATATCTACAATATCTTGTTGGAAGACGTTACCGTGGCATTTTTTACAAAAAAAATATATTAACATGGAAATTATATTTTGAAATTAGTTATTCCGCATCCTTTTATACCTTGAAGATGAGATGATTATATGTTTAAACTTTTGTATCCACTACTAGTCGGGCCATTAAATCAAACCATGTATTATACGATCAAGAACATATTTTGCACAATCTCATTACACTAAACATAATATAGGAATTTTTACGTATTATATATATATATGGTTATGGACCCACATGTTTGTGGTCGAGTGGCTAGCCAGTTGCACCTAGTGTTTCGGGTCAAGCATTCGATCTCGTATGTGGGGAGAGAGGTGTAATGTTTTAAACGTAGTATTCAAAAAAGGTTGCTCCCGGATTCAGGGCATATAAATTATGCCGAGGGTCTAGGGGATGTAGATTGGGGCGAAGGTTTAGATGAACCTTTCAGTTATCAAATATATATATATATATATTATCAATATATATATATATATATATTGATTATGGAGAATGGTAATTCGTGGAATCCGAATGCCAACTTCTCTGCAAATGACTCGCTTTTGGTACATTTTAAACGGACCCCACATTCCTCTTGTTTTGTCTCTAGTTTATCCAAGATCCTAATTAAATCACAAACTTTATGTAAATATGATCGTAAATTTATTTAAGTAATCAAACAATATACATCACAGCCAATAATAATCTAATATACATGTGATTGTATAAATAATCACAAGAAATATTGATTTAATACGATACGCCAATTAACGAGTATTCCATATAATAACCCTTGTGTTGAATTCGTACATTTGTTTAAATTGACATTACATCTGAAAATAAATTCCTAGTTTGTAAATTTTGTTTTACCTATTTAATATCTTTTTTTGTTTGTTTGAGAATTTCATCAAATTCATTGTCTCCATTGACCAACTATAGAATATCTATTTGATAAATAGCGAAGTATAAATATATTATTTTTATGACGAGAAATTTTTTATTAACATAAATAATTTACCAAACAACGGGCTTAGTTGCATTGAAAATAATTATACGCAGCCCAACCTTTTCGTAATAGCTCAAATGGCCCGATTTGGAGCCCAATCCACAAGGCCCAAAAATATATTTTTGGAGTACAATTCAATTCGCAATAAATTGATATAAAAGTTTAATATTAGAATTATAAGACTTAAATATTACGTCAAACCCCACAATAATTAATAGACAACATACGACAATTCAACCCAATGTCTTGTGTAACTTTTCCTCGACAAACGTGTCACCAAATTACAAACTTTGTGTATAGAACACCGCCATATTTTTTTTTGAAAATGTTACAAAAGAAAAGCACATGAATTTAAATTAACTCAATGACACATGGACTTTATAATATGTTTTAGAAGATAACGTCGGGTTTGATTCCGAGCTCTTTGAAGGCAGCGGGGCACTCCGTTGACGGCGTCTTGACCATGAAACCGAGAGGGTTAACGATACGTGTCTCGTTGGAGACGATTCCGTCATTCGCCGTTAAACTGATCTTAGCGGCGTTACGGAGGAATGCCTCTTTGCTCACTTCGCTGCAGTCTTTGTCCGGAGACTCGACGAGGACGATCTCGCACACTTCTTCTTCGTGGTCTCCCGTCACTTCCATCAGGAAACTCCCCGACTCGTCCGTAACGGCTTCTTTTGACACCGTTAGGGTTCCGTTCACCCTGTTCTTGCACTCCAATCTCACTTTCGCTCCTTCAAACATTTTTTTTCAACAAAACTTTTAGAGATTTTTCTGACATATCTTTGGTTTGGGCTGTTACCATGATTTCAGAGATTTCTGTGATGAATATGGACCTAGATTTGCTTACAATTATGTCAATGAACAATTTCATACGTACGTTCAGAACGTTGCATGCATGCACGCCATGTCATGTCATGTCATGTCTATAACGCAATTTTGTTAAGCATTTGTAATTCTTATCATAGTTTCCATGGAATAATTCCAAGGTTAATGTTTCCTAAGAGGAACGTGAAACTTTATTAGGTTTTGAAACGTGAAACTTGAACACCAAATCAGAAATGCATTATATAAAAGATTCCCGATAATACACACACACATATATATATAAATATATATATAAAGATATACGTATACTATACGTGCATACGTATGTATATATGTACGTGCGTATATATACCTTGGAGGAACTTGCTGAGGCGGGTAATGAACTGGACACGACACGTGTCACAGTAAACGGATCCCTGAATTTGGAAGCGATCCAAATCGTCGGCATCGGCGGCGGCGGCGAAGCCAGCCACGTAGGACAGGCACACGGCCGATGCCATTAACAACGCGATCGCTTTTCTTTCCATTTCTTACAATATTTTTCTCTCTCTGTCTTTCAGACAGGGCCCACTCTTTAGGTTTTTATATCCGGAACTATTTCTTATTTTTGGGTATTATTAATCATTTTGACATTAGATCATCTAGTGGTTTCCGTCTCTTAACCAACCATTGTCAAGGCTGTGATTCTTAGTGTTTCTTGTTCCTTAATTTTAGCTTCTGTTTTTTTTTTTTTGCAGTGTTCTAAATTTAGGAAAGAAAAAAAACTCATCACTAACTAATTTGAAATATAATTTATGGAATGGAGATTCCGGTTGAACTTGATTTGATTTGTTCGCTGAATGGAATTGAAATTATTTCGGTTTTAATTTTGTTTTCATATTTTGGGTTAATTGAGATTTTATTGTTTTTAATTTTCATACCGAAACGACGTCGTTTAGATTTGGGCTTTTGGGCTGAGAAATTGGAATTCGTAACTCGGCCTATTAAATCATCATCCGACCCGACCCGAATCAACAGGCCTCTTTGCGTCTACGTTCCAGAAGGCAGAAGTGATTCCGTCTACTCTCCGACATCGTTGCAAGTGATTGACTTTGAAGATTTGGGGTCGGTTGGAGAGAAGATCGGCGATGGAGGAGAAGGAGACTCGTCCGATACTTCAGTTCGCACCATTCAACAGCTCTGTCGACGAGGGTTTCTGGCATGGCTTGTCCTCTTTGAAACTCGACAAACTCGGCATCGACGATTCTCCGATCCCCATCACCGGTATTACATCTATTTGTATACGTAGGTTTTGATTTGTGTGTGTACATGTCTTCCCTGTTTATACATGACGATACGTCGCGTGATCGGTTTGGTTGCCGAGCAAAATTGGAAATTTTGTTCCTTTTTTGTGTTGGTGTCGTTGATAAGAGTTTGGTGGCGTAGATCGGAAACTTTAATTGCGGCTGGGGTTTTTGGTGAAAGACTTCATGAATTCAACTTTTTAGAACAAACACTTGTTTTTCCATGAGAAATTATGATAGTTACCAATTGATGTTTACTTCCATAGTTTGATTGATTCTCTTAATTATTGTGATGAGGTATAATTCGGGTTGAAATTTCAGGTTTCTATGCACCGTGTTCACATCCGCAAGTCTCGAACCATTTGACCCTTCTTTCAGAATCATTGCCATTGCACGATGAATCATCGGATGCGGAAACTAAAACTACTCGTGGAAATCGGAATAAGTGTCCTGTTCCCGGTGTTCTGTATAACACCAACACTATGGATAGCTTTCATAAACTTGACAAACAAGGTCTGCTGAAAGCAGAGGCAAAGAAGGTATGTTTCCGGATTTGGAGAATGTAAGACTGTGTTTGATTTTAATTCATCGGTGTTCTATATGAATCTTGTGGGCAGAAGTCTGATTATATGATGGTAAATTAGATTTGGGAGGATATTCGTACCGGGAAAGCTCTAGAGGACTGTGCTGTATTATCAAGATTCCTTGTTATCTCGTTTGCAGACCTGAAAAAATGGAACTTCCATTATTGGTTTGCATTCCCTTCTCTAGTGCTCGATCCTCCTGCAAGGTTGATCGACTTAAAGCCAGCTTCCGAGTGGTTTAGTTCAGAAGAGGTAACCAATCCATTGAATATCCTTCCTAAGTGTTCTTCTTTTACATCAGCTTCTTCTGTTCAATATGCCTCTTCTGCCTGTAGGTAGTGTCGGTATCTGCTGCATGCAATGAATGGCGTGACTCGAATTTGACAACCGGTTAGTTGTTTTCCTTTGAACAACTAAATTCATTGTGTTATATTTTTTTTTACTAAATTCATGTGAGATGATTGTTTTTTTTCCAATTCTTGTTTACTGAAAGCCTTTGTCGCTCCATGCTTTCTTTTGATGCAGATATCCCGTTCTTTTTGCTTACCATTTCTTCCGATTCAAAAGCTACTATAAGGCATCTGAAGGATTGGGAAGCCTGCCAAGATGATAATCACAAGGTTTGTCAATCAGAAGTATGAACAACCTACAATTTCTGAACTATTTTCAGAAGGGCGAGAGATTAGGAAAAGTCTATTTGGTCTTCCTTTTCTGAGCAATTCTTTTCTTTGCCTTCTGCAGTTACTTTTTGGATTTTACGATCCGTGTCACCTTCCTAGCAATCCCGGCTGGCCACTTCGAAACTACCTTGCTCTTATCTGCTCAAGATGGAACCTCGAGACAGTTCAGTTTTTCTGCTACAGAGAGAGTCGTGGTTTTGCTGACATGGCTTTGTCCCTTGTCGGAGAAGCCTCAATTACACTTCCACCAGGTATAGCACCGGAAACTAACAGCCTTATCCGTATTACGTCTCTTCTATCGCACTTAAGTCACCATGTTGTGTAGAGAAGGAAGATCCTCAACTTGTACCCAAGTCAGTGGGATGGGAACTTAACAAAGGTAGAAGATTACCTCGGTCCATTAGTCTTGCTAATTCCATGGATCCGATGAGGTACATTTGCTTCAGGATCACATTTTAGTCAACTATATCGGTGTTCTGCTTTTACTTTAGCGTGTATATGTTCTTCCACAGGTTGGCTGTGTCTGCTGTTGATTTAAACTTGAAACTAATGAGATGGCGAGCCCTTCCATCTCTGAATTTGAACGTTTTCTCCTCTGTGAAGTGTCTTCTTCTTGGAGCTGGTACATTGGGATGCCAAGTTGCTCGTACCCTTATGGTGCGTTTCTGTCATGGTCTGAAATATCGGTTCCGGGACAAGCAATGTTATGTTTCACTGAAGAACTTGTGTCTTGTAGGGATGGGGTGTCCGGAAAATTACTCTGGTTGACTATGGAAAGGTAGCTATGTCTAACCCGGTGAGGCAATCCCTCTATACATTCGAAGACTGTGAAGGCGGCGGAAAATTTAAAGCCTTAGCAGCTGCCGAAAGCCTTAAACGGGTTTTTCCAGCAATGGTAAAAGTTGTCTTACCCTGCATGTTGCATCTGCTAAATTTGAGGTTCACGGCTTTTTGATCGTGGGTGTCATGATATCTATAGGAAACTACAGGGGTCGTTATGGCTATACGGATGCCCGGGCATCCGATTTCTAAACAAGAAGAAGATAGTGTGCTTAAGGATTTCTTACGCCTCGTTGATCTGATTGAATCCCATGATGTGGTTTTCCTGTTGACTGATACAAGAGAAAGCAGGTGGCTGCCTTCTCTTCTTTGCGCTAATGCCAACAAGGTATTAAGTCTTTCCTTCATGAACTCAAAATTCTACTTTAGTGGCTGTATTATTGATACAGCCATTTGCTTGCTTACTGATTCTGTTTGGATTGCAGATCACTATAAATGCAGCTCTAGGGTTTGACAGCTTCATGGTAATGCGTCATGGTCCTGGTCCCCTCTGGTCGAATTCCGAAGCAGAAAGTTCCATATCCAGTGATATGCGAAATCTTGACATTACCAAGACAGACAAACACAGGCTTGGATGTTACTTCTGTAATGACGTGGTTGCACCCCAAGATGTAATTCCCTGGATTTTTGGATTGTGTCTTTATATACCGCCTGTCATGTTACATTTGCTCTCTGTCCTCATCTATTTTCATCTTTGCCTTTTTCTGCAGTCAACTACTGATCGAACCCTAGACCAACAATGCACTGTTACTCGCCCGGGTCTCGCCCCCATTGCTGGAGCTCTCGCTGTTGAACTCTTAGCCGGCGTCCTGCAACACCCTCTCGGGTAAAAACTTTTCAAGAAGGCTCTCTTCTTGTTTCTTGGCTCATTCAATTTGCAGCTCCAGCAATGGTTTCTTGAGAAGCCCGTTGTAGAGATTCTTGTTTGAACCTTATGTCTGGGCTGTGCATTATGTTCTTACAGGATCTATGCCGAGGGGGAGACCAGCTCGAGCAATGGAGGAAACAGTGATGATCCTTCACTAGGGATCTTACCCCATCAGGTCCGAGGTTCTATCTCTCTGTTCTCTCAGATCACACTGGTCGGGCATGCATCCAACAGCTGCACCGCTTGCTCTGAAATCGTAAGTCTCTCCACATCCATCATCATCATCATCATCATCATTCATCACCACCATCATCGTCGTTGTCACACTTGAACATTTATTTCAGGTGATAACTGAGTATAGAAGAAAAGGAAAAAGTTTCATACTTGAAGCGATCAACCATCCCACGTACCTGGAGGATCTTACTGGTTTAACTCAGCTTAAGACAGATGCTAATTCCTTTAACCTTGACTGGGACAACGAAGATGACGATGATGTTGCAGAAGATTTCTAAAAGTTGTTTATCTGATAATGTCTTCTGTTTCATGAAAAGTTTTATATTTTCTTATTGCATTTCACTTTATGAGAAAAATTAATTCGTCTGTATTATTACACCTTTATTTTATTTTATTTTTTGGTGAATTATGAACAGTGTTTTATATTATTTTCCAAGCTGCAAGTGAAGTTGATAATATAAATAAAATGCTAAAGCTTTTATATTCACACAGTAGAAAGAAAAATACAAATACCAAAAATTAATCTGATCCTAAAAGCCGACGCAGAAGAAGACATGTTCATGCTTGATGACTCGTGTGGTTATTACAAGACCTGGCTTTGTCCCTCAGCTCTTGGAATGCTCTCATAGTTTCCACGTCGAAACCTCCAGCGAACTGTTCAATTCAACCGTAACCGATCGATCCGGTTATGTGCCAAACCGAACCAATAGAATGCCGATGAAGGGTTGGTGTGTTACCTGGTGAACGCGGAAGGCGAACCGGACGCCTTGAACAATCAGCTCCTCCTCGTCGACGGCTTCTAGCTCCGCCGATACTCTCTTCATGTAATTCTTTGCTAGTTTCACTGACGCCAATTTTATCTATATGCAGTATGCACCACATAAACTCGATAGTATTATAAGCTTCAAATCGAGGTATAGAATAGTGCCCACATATTATTTTGTTATTATTTGTTTTTGTCTATTTACAATATGACCGACTGTTCACAATGTTGTTTTTGTGATGATAAAAGTCATGAAAATCCCAAAGCAACACAAAGAAATCAGATCAGTTCGGACAAGAAATACGGTGACGACCCACAAAAAAGAAAGAAAGTAGAGAAATTGAACTAAAAGCTACAGTATATTATATATTTGTAAGTAGCCTGAAAGTAAGTTGATAGGGAAAAAAAGTTATATCTATTTTTGTTGCATATTATAATATATATTTGTTGTAATGTAGAGGAGAATATTAAAATAATATCCGAACTCTATTTTTTTATCAAATAAAACATAAACCTTGTAAATGTTATCTTTTTAAATCAAACCGATGATGACGTGGTATTACGATATCATACATGTCAATATGTCAATTTATGATTTGGTCAAATCGTATATGTCATCATTATGATGTGGATAATGTTGTGTACCGTTGATCAAAGTCACAAATTGTCACATAAAAACGATAAATTTTATAATTTTAAGATTTTTTTTGACAAAAAAAAAATGAATTCGGGTTTTATTTTAAAAAAAAATAGATTAGATTTTTTTTAGAAAAACCGAATAGTTAGAGGTTTTTTCCCCTAATAATAAAGACCCCTGCAATTGATATTTTAAATTAATAGTAAGTAATAATTATCTAAAAGTCGGAGGCTAAGATTAAAAAAAAAGCATCCAAGCCGTTAAAATTTCCTCTAACCACGAGATTTAAATTGGAAAATTTCGTTAAAAATTTTCCAATTTAAGTCAAACCCCCTAATAAGTAACGGTTATCACCAAACTTCATATGATATATTTCATAAATAAAATTAAATGAACATAAAATCTAAAAGAAATCACCAAACAATATTTTTTTAAAAAGAATTATTACTTTAATGACTCAAACTTGTCTACCCGTGTTTACTGCTCTGTAAATCTATAACATAAAACATTAGTGATTACTGAATCGAGTAGAAAAGGTGAAACCTTTGATGTCAGATCTCTATCAATGGCATATATATATAGTAGAAATTAAAAGAGAATTCGAATTTTTTTCGAATTAGGTTTACCTGGCTAGTGATTCCGGTTTCGAGCATCCAATCGACCGGAATCTGGAAAGTCTTGTACTTTGCCGCCGCCGATTCCCTCATCCTGGAAAGACTATAAACACCATGCTCTAACCTAATTTCACCCAAACCCACAAGATTTGAATAATGTCCCAACCAATGAAGATTATATACATGATGATGAAGAGAGAGAAAATGTCGGTACTTTTCGAAGAGAGACTGCATTTTCTTAAGGGCAGGAGCCGAAGGTTGACGAGGGTCGTCTCGGAATCGAGAAGCTTCCGATTCGAGCTTCTTCAGATCGAAATAACTGAAGGCTGCTTCACGCAATGCGTCGGCTTTTTGTTCAGGCCAATCGAATTGTTTCAGTACCGCTCTCTCATCCACCTGAGATTGATTAACACCCACAAAGAAAAAAAATTCAAAATTTGTTCAAATCTAGGAATTTGATCTATGTTTTCGACTCGAAAGTTTGAAACTTTTTGTATGAATTTTGAGTGGGGTACCAGGTAAGAGAGTTCGTCGTCCAGCCATTTCACGAAGGGGACGACGTCTTCGATGTCTGAAAACGCAGCGTTTTCGACTTCTTTGATCAAGAACCTTATGAAATCTCCTTGCGTTTCGACATCGGTTTTTATCTGTGGGAAAACGGAAAAAAAATGGATATTTATGGCTTTTTAATTGAGAAAAAAAAAACAGAGAGAGAGGAGAATGAAAATTAGAAACAGAAAAGGCGATCATGTCGAAGTAATTTTTTACTGACGCAGGGGGGGAAAAGCCAAAACCGGACATGCTATACCGGGAAATTCGAACGGGTAATTGGAATTTTAAACCGGAATTTACCGCCAGGAGATAAGCCGATCGATTCTCGATCTCTCCGATCATGTCGCGGGCATTCGCCGCCGCCGTCGCCGGTAATGCCTCTGTCCCGCCCGCACCGTTGCTTCCAGTGGAGTCTCTCCTCGAGCTCGCGGAGTCTCTACGCATCAGCGAGTGGTAGAACTCCACTACCTCTGGTACTCTTCGTACTTTCTCCGCCGCCACCGTGTACAAGCTCTTCGGCGGTGGAGGAGGCGGAGGTGGAGGATGATGCTTGGAAACAGTCGCCGGAGGAGGCGGTGGAGGCGGAGGAGCCGGAGCCGTCTTCTGCCTAACCGGTGCGGCTCTGTTCTCCGTCGAATCATCTCGGCCGTCGTACGACAATGACCGTTTCGGCGGTGGTTTCGGAACGCGAGGAACCCTAGCTTTGACGTCGGAGAGTAACGAGTCGGACTCGTTGAGGTCTTCAGAGTGACTCGGTCTCCGACTCTCTGTTTCATCTTTCATGTAAAAACTGCCGTCTCCGGTGGAATTCGGCTTGTTATTGTCATCCGGGTTCGGGTCGGGTGTATTCCTCCATGACCCGACCCGTTTCAAGCTCTTCATGAAATTCGATTTGGCCGACGCATCCACTAAGCCTTGAAACCTCTGCGAAGCCGAGAGCGGGTGCTCCTCACTCTCCCTCGCCATCATTATTTTCCGGAGCTCTCCGATCTCCATTTCCATCTCCTTTTCTCTCCTCTCACTCTCTCTCCTCTGTTCTTCGCTTCTCGCGTTCGATTCTTCGATTTCTCGCCTCAATTTTGAGTTCTCCTCCTCCAACCTCGCCGTCGCCTTTCTCGCACTCTCGATCTCGGCGATCTTCTCCGAGATTTGAGATTTCAGGATCGGAATCACTGAGACGGATTCTCTCAGGAGCTTGAGCTCGAGAAGCTCCGTCTGCAGGAAAACTTCTCTCTCCCGGAGCTCCTCCACCTGACGCCGGAGCTCGGAGACGCTGTGGTCCGGCTGATAGGACCGAGTGGCGGCGTGGACCTGAGCGGAGGCGCGTGGGAAGTAAACACCGAAAGAACGGGAGAAAATTGCCTTCTGATTGGAACCTGGGTTCGTCGGTTTTCCAGCGGCACTAGATGGTGGAGGAGGAGGAGGAGGAGGAGGAGTCATATCCGACTGCTGCTGTTGCTGCTTGCGTTTGTTGGAAGGGGACTTGTGGAAGCCCATTGTTACTCGAACTTTTCCGGCCACCATTGATGGAGCTCTGTAATGGCGATTTCAAATTTTCCTCCTTTTTTTTTTTTTTTACGGGAGAGTATAATTTTGCATGGGAATTGAAAACATGTTGATTCCCGTGTAGTGAGAGAGAGTGTGTATTGTGCCTATGGCTTTTAAAGCTAAAGAGTTGAATAAGATCTTACCTTAGGATAAAAAAAAAATATATGTTTTTTCTTTTGTTATTATTTCATATATATATTTTTTTTATCAATATATCTGTAGGATTCTTCATGGTTTTTAGACCGTTGGAAGAGGCATTTAAAATTCGACAAATACAATTCTTATGAAAAATTATTTATACAATCATTGCATATTCTCGTTATTTTATCGTAATTGTTATTATATTATGAAGTTTAATTTCTTTTTCTTTCTATGGTAACTGTTATTATATTCGTCAGTTTCCATTCTTTATTCGTATTATAAGTCGTGTATTTGTAAATATGTGTAGCCAATTATCCAATTTGTAATTTTGATGATAGTGTTAAATAAATGCAGAAACAATATTGGGTGTCTATAAAATTTAGATATCTTGGCAATATACAAAATAAATAATAAATAAATAAAGGGTGATGCACTGTAAACGAGGAACGTTCATCACTTTACTCCAGATTCAAATTTCAAAAAACACCAATTTGGTTTAGTGCGTTTGTTTTATTTATTTCTTTTACTTACCAATTCTGCTTGCTTTTTCAGTTTTCAATTTGGTTAATTTCTACCCTAATCACTTTTTTACCCCAAATATCTCAACCGTTTTATTGCACCGTTTTTTTACTAAGCAATTTCCCCTACCGGTCGGCAAAATTTAAATATTTTTTATTTAAAAAGTTATATACACTTGTTATTTTATCCCCCGGTCGGACAAATAAGTGTAAATTGTATATACATGTACAATTCATCTTAGATCCTCCGAAATGTGTGTTTAACGGGACTATCAAATCACGCTATTATCTCGTGTTCAAATCCAAACGTGGAGAGAAATATTCACCCGTAATTTTCCGTTGTTTTAAAATATATAATTGGATCAAATACCCGATTAACTTTAGAATTATAAAAAAAATTATATTTTTTTCTAATAAAATATATTAACACAAAGTTCCATAGTCCTCTATACAAACTGTGATTTAAGCTCATTCAAATTCGATCTCTTTAGTGATTTCCATCTGATTTAAATGGTTGGTATAGTGTGTGTATATATATATGTGTGTGTATGTATATGTGAAGCAATGGTACTATGCACATATATATATAGCCATAATGAAAGGCTGGATATGTAGAGAAAAGAGCTGTTTATATAGATTTGTGTTTTTGATGCGGACTTGCTCTGTTCTTTCTCTTTCTCAATATTGTCTTCTCTTTAATAATATTTTAAAAAAAATCATGTGATTTTAATTGTGAGAAGACGACATTCCAAATCTAGGGTTTATTCTTTCTCATTTATACAAAAATCAGATAAGATTCCCATTTCAATAACCAATCCTGGTTTGATCAAGGCCTTATAAAACGACGACGTGTTATTAGAAAAAAAAATTCGTCTTATAATAGTTTAATATTTTTCATTTTAGACATTATTAACGTTGATAAAGCATAAGATTTCATATATATATATATATATATATATCGGTGAAAAGAGAGGATGATTAAATGTGAGGCGGTGAAGAGGTGAGACAGAGCACTGAAAAGAATGTCACATAGTGTGGGCATTATAATTTGATTATATCACCAACAAAAAAAAAACATAATTAAGGTGGTCCTTTCTAAAATTTATATCGTATCTATTTATACACGGCTCTAATACATTAACGTACGTTAAAAAAATGGTCTGCATGCATATGTGTACATTATATTTGTTTACGTTTTTTCACAAAAGATTCTTAAAAAAACCCTGTAATTATATAATGTAGTTTGGACTTTTATTTTTTGGAGTATTGCATTATTTAATCCTTTTTTATATATATATTCTTCCTAAATACGGCCTCCACTCGATTTCACTTTAGTTTGATTAGGTATGAAATGTTATTTTTATGGGTATTCGATTAGGGTTTTGCTTTGGGGCATTTGCCAATTTTGGACGTGTTTGTATATTGCTTTCGGTGTCACGTGCATCTGTTGATTGCCCAACCAAAAAAAAAAAAGAAGATATACAAATCTTACTCCATTTGGTCCTATCTTTGTAAATTTTCAATTTGATTCACTTAAGTTATAACTTTGATTAGCCTTGATTTGAAGTATTATAAGTTTGAATGCCACGGTGTTGCTGTTGCTTATTAATGTAAGTTCAATGGATAATCAACTATATTAGTATATACACATAAGTATATTACAGTTGGTCCCTACAATTATCATATATTTTCATTTATTGTAAAGTTGAGAAAGAATTTCTCTTTCTATACGGGTTATGATTGACTGTATGCAATACCGAATAATATCATGCATTATATTACTGTGAAAATAAAGAGTTTAAAACTTGGGGGAAACCCCAGGTGAATCGGTTAAGAGGCATGGTGGGTAGCCATGAGGTCGGGAGTTCGATTTCTTGCCGCCCCCTTAACTAACACCTTGTCGTCTACCAGTTACGGTTGATTTACCTCCTATGCGTGTATCGCAGGCTCATGCGTGTGGGCTTGAGGTTTGACCCGCATGCGCCTAAGCCCAACTACGGCCCGAGCGTTAGGCGCGCCTGGTGGCCAGGTCTGTTGGGAGACCGTTAGGCGCGGGTGGTAACCAGTTCGGTTCCGTTTGTAAGGATAGGTAGTCACGAGGTTCTCCAATGTATCAAAAAGAAAAAAAAAAGTTTAAAACTTTAAATACGTGTGTTAACCGGTTGACCTGTGACCGGGCCCCTACCGGTTAAGGCTTCTTTTGTTACAAAAGGAAGAAAACATTTTGGGCTTCATTTATTTGTTATAGGCCCATATAGTCCTATGGGTTTTCTCCACTAGGCCCAACTAAGCCATAGTCCAATTTGATGTCCCAATAGCTTCTTCTCCCCTTTTTTTTTATACACACGAGTCGTGATTTTGATTAACAAAAAAAATTGTTGTTTTAAGTTTGATTTCAACGGTCTGACCTCCAAAAGAAATATATATATCCCCATTATATTTTACTGTTAAAAAAAGAAAAAATATCATTTATAATATGTACCAAAAATACTTTTATTTTGATAAATAAATATACCAAATATTAAATATACCAAATATATATATATATATATATATATATATATATATATTTTTTGAATTTAGGTAGGGGTTTTCATATAGAAAAATAAAATCCGTAGTGGAAATTCCCCTGACATTAGCAAAAGCATGGCGTGTTTGGAGCGATGGAAGCATATGATATTAATCAAGATTCCTTCACAACTTTGCTTATGTTTCCTAATTCCCTCGCTTCAAAGCAACAATCCACTCTTCTGTTGAGCTGTCCCTCTTTATTTTATTTTCCAATGTTTTCTTGAGATGAAAATTCTCTTTTTCTTCACAAGAAATTTCTTTATATATTCATCCTTTTATGTAGATATGGAACACCGTGGGCTCTTCACATCAAAGAATTGAGTACAAGCAAGACCAACGTTATATATATATATATATATATATATATATAAGTCAAACATGCAAATAAAATTTCTAAGTTTCCTTTCGAATAATGGAAATTGTTATGACAGCAACTAATGCCACCGTCCAAAATCGTGATTATACGTGGCGTTTCGGGTTTGCATGCGAATATATATATAATTCTATTGGTAATTAAAGTATATATGTAATTTAAATAATAATGCAAAATCGGAAGAAACATTTGGATTACTTGGGCATACGCGCAATAAATTCGTGTAACCCAGTTATTCGGACAAATTTTATAACTACAATTAATGTATTTTACAGTGAAATTAATGACTTGTTTAAGAAGAAAAAATCTCCGACCAATTCAACAAAGTGATATAATATTATACATTGTCTCCGGTTCTGCTAGACAGCTTGTACCACGTTAACAAGTATTTAAGATGTAATAAAATATACAATTCTAAATTCACATGATATGACAAAAATGACTTACCACATTTCACGTATATGTATATTTATGAACAATCCAAAGTGAGTTATGAAATGTTTCAAGCACGTTCGATAGATTTAAATTTCGAATATAAATAATTAAGTTGGGTCATATGTATATACAACGACTCATATATTTCCTTTTCCTCAAGGCGAAAAACCCAAGAGAAAATATTTTTGTATACATATATATATATATATAATATTGATAAATTGACGATGACACTTCTTCTGTGACCGTGATCCACCTAAACTATATGCTTACGATTTAGATTTCTTGATCTCTTTCACATTGTCGTATGCTTTAGCCGGAAGGTTTCAGATTCTGCAATTAGGTCCACGAAAAAAAAAGAAGAGAAAATTATACGAAATATTTATTTTTTTCTTTCTAAAACTCGATATCGTGTATGTTTATATATGTATATATTTGTGGTTGAGATTGTGTGCGTATAGGTTATGGGAAAAAGTAGGACATGATGATGATGATGACGATGGGGTGTTTCAACTGGTCAAGGAAGAAGAAGAAGAAGGCATCAATGGCGTCGAGGCCGCTGGGGAAAAGATGGAGAGATCTGAGCGGTCGAAATCATTGGAAGGATGCGTTAGAGCCGTTGGATTTGGAACTCAGACAATACATAATCCACTACGGTGAGATGGCTCAGGCAACGTACGACACTTTCAATGCCAACACCAAATCCAAATACGCCGGTTCCAGCATCTACTCTCGTCAAGATTTCTTCTCCAAGGTTTTCCTTTCTATCTTCACAAACTGTCTTTTCCAATACTTTGGGAACTGAAACTATATATATATACAAACGTCTCTTGACATTAATTAAATACCATTAGAAAACTAATACATCTCAATAATATTAGCCGTTCTCCTAATCCCACAATTCCAATATTCAAAAGATTGTACTTTTTAATATGAAATGATGTTTGTGTGTATTGATATGATGATACACAAACTTATTTAGAGATATACAATATAGGATGAGATTTTCTTGATTCATATATATGACAGGTGGGTCTAGAGAAGGGACACCCATATTGCAAGTACCAAGTGACAAAGTTCCTATACTCGACTTCTCAAATCAGCGTCCCCGACTCGTTCTTGGTGTTCCCGGTTTCCCGAGAGGGTTGGACAAAGGAATCGAACTGGATCGGTTACGTGGCAGTGGCCACGGACCAAGGCAAGCAAGTGTTGGGTCGGAGAGACATCGTGGTCGCATGGAGAGGAACCATTCAGACATTAGAATGGATTAACGATTTCGATTTCGGTACCATCAATGCCAAGAAGATTTTCGGGGATAACGGTGATGGAGTTGGAGTGCATCAAGGATGGTATTCGATCTATACATCAGAAGATGAACGTTCACCGTTTAATAAGGCTAGTGCAAGAGACCAGGTATATATATCTATATATATTCTTTACGTACCAAATCTATAGATCGAATGTAATGATATAATTATCGTTTATACACCAAGGTTTTGAGAGAGATAAGGAGATTGGTGGAGAAGTATAAGGACGAAGAGATTAGCATTACGATCTGTGGACACAGCCTCGGAGCGGCACTCTCGACCCTAAGTGCAGCCGACATTGTGGCTAATGGTTACAACAGACCGAAAAATCTTCCCGACAAGTCTTGTCCCGTCACCGTATTCGCTTTCGCCAGCCCTCGTGTCGGTGACTCTGATTTCAAAAGATTATTCTCAGGGTAAAAATCTAAGTTACACAAAACCCTAATCTTATACATATACAGTCCATCTTAGAATTGTTAGAACAATCTATGTTCTTGTATGGTCAGCTAGAGCCTTTAATTAAAACCCTAATATATGTAGCTGTTAATGGCCCTTTAAACCCTAATCTTACAGTAATGTTGTTATTATCTTAGGACAATATACATTATTCTTTTTTTTTTGTCCAAATGTGGCATTACACAATTTAACTAACATTGCTGTCTAATATCGGATCTTTGTTCGTTTTTTTTTTGTGTTCATAACCTGACAGACTCGATGATCTGCGTGCACTACGGATAAGGAATCTACCGGATGTGGTTCCGATCTATCCTCCAATCGGATACTCCGAGGTCGGGGAAGAACTGGTAATGGACACGAGGAAATCTCCGTACCTGAAATCTCCTGGAAACCCTACCTTGTTTCACACCATGGAAGTTTACTTGCATGGGATTGCTGGAACTCGAGGCACCAAATCGGATTTCAAACTTGAAATCGAACGTGACATTGCTCTGGTTAACAAACCGATCGACGGATTGAAGGATGAATTTATGGTTCCTGGTTCTTGGAGAGCTCTCAAGAACAAGGGTATGGCTCAACAGAATGACGGGTCATGGAAGTTGATGGACCATGAGACCGATGATAACGAAGATGTTGAAATTTGATTCTGGGTTTTTGGAATTTGGTTTGATTTATATATATATAAATTTACCAGATTTGGTTAGTTTATTTTTCCATGAACATTGTTCCTCTACTTTCTCCTGTTTACTGTAATTATATACATGAATCAAACATTATGTTTTATTGGAAAATGAGATTGGACCTTTAAGTTCAAACGGAAATATCGTTTCAATGCAGCAAATCCAACATTTTGTTGTGTGCCATTACAATCGAATCTGATGTGACCTCATTGATAATTACAAAAGTTTGAAACTTGATTAGAAACATTTAAGAAGTTGGAGGCTTTATCTGCAAAGGTTTGTCTTTTCTATAGAGCAGATATTTTAAACAATCTTTTTTTTTTCCCTTAAAAAAAGATTTTTGAGCTTATTTCCTCTGGGCTGTTTTTTGGCCGTGAAATCTGATCTCTTACCGGTGGTGATGTTCTCTCTAACGTTCTCTTCACCGCATCTCCCGCTCTCGCACCCGAATCTTCCCGCAAAGAAACCCTTCAGATATCCAACCACTAAGAGCAACAGCAGCTCGAAATTGAAGCAAAACAACCATCGGAACGAAAGCCCATCTGGGTCGCCATGCATTTCCTGCAAAATTTATTCTTTTGAATCGGAGTCTGACAGTTTATCCAGTTCACAGAATACCGGAGAAATCTCGGAAAATGGGTCACCATGTTCGTCTCCCTCGTCGAGCGAACGGGTGAATTATGCAATACTCGCGGGTTGGCTTCAGTCTTCCAACGGGTTACGACTCGTCAAAAGGATTCATGCGATGGCGTTGAAGTGTTTGGACATTCAAGTTATCTACTTCGGCAATAATTTGATCAGTTCTTATGTGAGAGTTGGGGATTTGACCAGTGCTCGTAAAGTGTTCGATATATTGCCGCATAGAAACACGGTTACTTGGACCGCAATGATCGATGGGTACCTGAAATTTGGCCTTGAAAACGAGGCTTTTTCATTGTTTGCTACTTTTGTGAAGAGAGGTATCCGTTTTACGAATGAGAGGATGTTTGTATGTCTGTTGAATTTGTGCAGTAGGAGATCAGAATTTGAGCTAGGGAGACAGTTACATGCCCATTTGGTAAAAGGCCAAGTTGAGAATCTCATTGTAGATAGTGCTCTTGTTTATTTCTATGCACAATGTGGGGAGTTGGCTAGTGCACTACGCGCGTTTGATCTGATGAAGGAGAAGGATGTGATTTCTTGGACAGCTGTTATTTCGGCTTGCTCAAGGAAAGGGCATGGAAAAGAAGCCATTTTTATGTTTTCCCAGTTGTTAAATCAGGGATTTTTGCCCAACGAGTTTACAGTTTGCAGTATTTTGAAGGCTTGCAGCGAGTTGAAGGCGATAAGATTTGGCAGGCAATTACACAGTGTGGTAGTTAAGAAGGTGATCAAGAACGATGTTTTCGTTGGAACTTCTCTAATGGATATGTATGCAAAATGCGGGAAGATTTCAGATTGTAGAAAAGTGTTTGATGCCATGAGCAATAGAAACACGGTCACATGGACTTCTATCATAGCTGCACATGCTCGGGAGGAGTTGGGTGATGAAGCTATCAGCCTCTTCCGGGTAATGAAGAGGCGGAATTTGATTGCAAACAACTTGACTGTTGTCAGCATCCTTAGGGCATGTGGCTCCATTGGAGCTTTGTTGTTGGGAAAAGAACTTCATGCTCAGATCATCAAGAATTCAATCGAAAAGAATGTATATATAGGCAGTACTTTGGTCTGGCTATATTGTAAATGTGGAGAATATAATAACGCATTCAATGTCCTTCACCATATGCCCTCTAGAGATGTGGTGTCATGGACGGCCATGATCTCTGGATGTTTAAGCCTGGGGCATGAGTCAGAAGCCCTAGCGTTCTTGAAGGAGATGATACAAGAAGGTGTGGAGCCGAACCCATTTACGTATTCCTCAGCTCTAAAGGCGTGTGCTAATTCAGAAGCCCTACGTCTCGGAAAATCCATCCATTCAATTGCCAAGAAGAATCCAGCTTTATCCAACGTCTTTGTCGGAAGTGCTTTGATTCATATGTATGCAAAATGTGGATTTGTGACAGAAGCATTTAGGGTTTTTGACAGTATGCCTGAAAAGAACTTGGTTTCTTGGAAGGCTATGGTAATGGGTTATGCGAGAAACGGGTTTTGCCAGGAAGCTCTGAAGCTTATGTACAGAATGCAGGCTGAGGGATTTAAAGTTGACGATTACATCTTTACGACTATAATTTCTACTTGCGGAGATATAGAACACGAGACAGAACCTTCTGCAGAACGTTACTTGGAATCCTCAGCTTCTCTGTAAGTGCCATGGCTAGAAGCCTAGAACCCTTTGTAAAAAAAACACGGATGTACATATAGATCAACTCAGCTCCTGTTCTTTGCCGAGCCATTTGCCATTTTGTTGTGTTGTATACGAAAATGAGATCCAAGCTTATAGATACTGATCTTAAGGGCAAAACCTGTTGAGGGTTTGGTTGCTTGCTTGCTGTTGGCTGGAGATGTGCATTAGAATGTAGCATTAAGAATTCTTCTTAGACTTCTGCCGCCATTGATGTGGCTCACTTTAAGTTTATCTTTATGTACTTCTTGTTAGTTTCTTACACATCCACTTGCTTTGCTCCGACAAGAGTACAAGACCATCCAAGCTCTTGATGACATTGTTTGTATGGTTCATAATTGGATCTCGACTTGAATTCTGTAGCCAATGTTGTTGATAAGGAGCAGGGGCTTTCTAGTCAAATTATAAAGTTGAGCCCTTCCTCGAGGAAAAGCTGAAAATGCCTGAGCTTTACCGAAACTTTTACGAAGACTAGGGATGGATTCGGCAAATTTTGACTTCTGAGAAAGTTTGGTTATTGATCAAATTATAACGAGACAGCTCTTTATAATATAAATTAGTGATTATGTGTGATATATAAAATGTATTTTTTTTCATTCAATCATTAAAAGTAATTAGTTACAATCTAGATATCTAATATAATAAACTATTTTAGATTCTGTTTTGTTACAATGATGGTTATGCCATATGAATTTTATTTTTTTTTTGGAAGCGTTGATTCGTTATGCATTTTATTTTTATTCTATGATAGAATGAAAATGCATATTTTTAAAAAAAGGTACAAAGGCCCACATGCAATAATTAAGAAGCATGCGTCATTAAAATCCTAAATACAGACGTGTGGAAGACAAAACGCCAATAAAAAAACGCATACATTAAAAGTGGCGGCGTGCCATTCGAGGAAGATGAGCAAAGACTAGCCAAGCGAACGGAACGTCTCTTCTCTCATTTGTGCCCTATTATTTTAATGAAATTACACAAAGTGCCCAACAAAAAATGAATTCTGCTTCTTTCTTTTTATCGTGGAGGAAGACAAAGCATACCATTGTATTGTTTTAAAAACATTTATTGTTTGTAAAGGATTTACGCATGTTATAATTGGTGGTGAGAAAACAAATTAAAAAGAATGGTGTGTTTGTATGTGTATATAAATGAACACAGAAGCAATTGACGGAACCATCCGTAATTATGGAAAAATATGGGGCTCTTTTTTTAATTTGGCGAGAATGGTGTGGAAACATTTGATTAGTGGAGGTTTAGTTAGGTCGGAATCCGATCATTGGTTGCCTCCTAACCTAAAACCCCCTTTTGCAAAATTTCGTGTTCCAGCAGTTATTGCAAGGCTTGTAATTATTACACACACACACACACAAATTATATATATATATATAATATTATATATATATATATATATATATTAATGTCTATAGTAAATGCCTTGGGCCATTTGTATATCCTTATTCGATCCCGGTTTTCTTGAAACATGGAGAGAGAAAAAAAAAAGTCTAATGTATTACCACATCATGCATGTATATGTATATATATACATCGAAATAAAAACTTATTACATTATAATAACGACCTTGAAATAGATATCACTTTTATCATCTCGACCCGTATGAAGCTATAATCATAATCGAGTTTTTTAATTATCCCTTTGTCTTTAATGCTAGGGTTAAATTGATTGGCGTACAAAAATACATCCACCAATATAAAAAAAACATATGTGACATATATATATATATATATGAATGGCAAGTGGGTAGTGGGTGATTGCATTTAAGTGCATCAACTTTTTTTTCCCCTTCCTTCTTATTTGCTCCATATCTATTAGATAATCTCCCAAAGAAAGATCACATCAGAAAAACCAGGGATCATCCCATAACCACCCAACGATTTCTTTCCTCCAAACTTTCTCGGGAAAATAGGGAGAAAATAAACGACAAACCCATCAAACTAATAGAATCAGAGGATCGATCTATCGATGAGGCCAAAGATCTTTCTGTTTGGTGATTCGATCACTGAGGAATCCTTCGGCGATGGCGGCTGGGGTGCTTCTCTTGCTAACCTCCTCCGTCGCAAGGTATATATGTACACGTACATGCCACATCCATATGCATATATGTATAAGCACGCATATACGTATAATATATATATAGGTATGTACGTGTCGTACGTATGCATATATGGATGGATTATGTACGGCTCCTACCTGTGTCCACTTGTATATGAATGGTTGGAATTAACCGATAGTTGGCGACATCATGAAATGCTAATCCTATCTTGATTACAAACTAATTATGTTGGGGGGGGGGGGGGGGGGG